TACACAACACTAGTTCTCAGCGGTAATGATGTTGTAGACACAGAAATACAACATATGGCTATTGCGTTACGAAATAACATAGTGACTCTCATTCTTTGTTGATTGCTCTCCTGTACTCATTTGTACTTCTTAAACAGACACTCACCACTCTAGGTCTCGGCAACAATTCAATCGGAAACGAAGGTGCACAATATCTGGCCAGCTACATACGAAATAACAAAGTAAGTCTCATTGTCATCCGCACTTTCTCGTGCAGACACTCACTATGATCTCTCTCGGGTGAAACTTAATCGGAAACGAAGGAGTACAACATTTGACCGACGACATACGAAATAACACGGTGATTTTCATTATCTCTTGGTCTCTCTTATATACTCAGATGGATCTTTTCATATAGACACTCATCGAATGAAGTCTCTCCTCTAATGACATCGGAGGCAAGGGAGCCAAACATTTGGCTGATGCATTACTATTTAACACAGTTATCGTCATTATTTCTTCTTCTCTCTCATGAATTTATTTACACTTTTTCATACAGACTCTTACAAGACTACTTCTCTCAAATAATCAAATCGGAGACGAAGGAGCAAAACATCTGGGTGATGCACTACGAAATAATGCAGTAATCTTCATTTTCTCTTGTTCTCTATAATGAATCTATCGATACTTTTTCAAACAGACACTTCCGATACTGTATCTTCACTGCAATCAAATTGAAGAGAGAGGAGCACAACATCTACCTGATGCACTATGACATAACAAAATAACTCTTATTTTCTTTTGATTTCTCTCTTGTACTCATCCGTACTTTCTCTTACAGACATTCATTACGATATGTCTCTCGAGTAATTCAATCGGAAAAAAGGTGCGCGACGTCTGGTCAATGATATACGAAATAACACGATGATTCTCATTATCTTTTTCCTTTATTTATCCGTCGACACCTTTTCACACAGATACTCACTGCGCTATTTTTTTTTGACATTTTAATCGGAAACAAAGGAGCACAATATTTGGCAGACCGCACACGAAATACTACGGTGATCCTTATTCTCTCTTCATCTCTCTGATGTATTCATCCGCATCTTTATATACAGACACGCACCACACTAGATCTCTCAACGAATCAGATCAGAGACGAAGGAGCACAATATCGAGCTGATGCATTGTTAAACAATAGAGTGATCTTCATCCTCTCTTCATTTCTCTCATATTCTCATGTGCATCTCTTTACGTAGACACTCACCATGCTGAAGCTCTTGAATAATCAAATCTGAAGTAAAAGGGATGCAATATCTGGCTGATGCATTACGAAATAACACATAAATCATGATTCTCTGTCCATATTTCTTCATACAACGGTAAAGAGTTATCACATAGACACTCATGGTACTAGTTTGTTTCGCTTCTGATATGCCTGAAGATCTCTACCGACGTATGAACAGACTTACTGAGCGCAACAAGAAGAAGACCAACCGACAAGAATAGTTATTGAACTCGTTTACGTAGCATGTTCCAAAAATATTCTTATATTTGATAATTACGATGAAAATAAAAATTTACTGAGACTTACAGCTGAATTAGATGAGTGCAATGTAACAGGATTATAGGGAGAATTATCTACATGTATTTGGTTAGTTATCCAGAATAGAATGGAAACATGTTTACTTTCTAGAGTACTACTCAGTGTTGCCCTTCACAGTACATTGATGAGTTGACGATTTGACAGATTGGAATATTCTGCGACCGGAAGGCAAGTGTGATTTTTCAGATATCAAAAATTGTGTTCTAGAATGTGGGTGTCGATCTTCTCTTCATCCACACCCGTATCAATCATAGTTTGTTCAGCGTCTTCGCACAACACTTTATTAGTTATAGTCAATGAATTTGATTCCATTTCTTTATAAGTTCAAATGACTTGCGAGAAAAACATTCTACCTCTGCCAAAAACCTGAAAATAGTTTTCGAATCAGAATTATCAAATTATTATAAACTAATGAACCACGTTGAATTGTCGACTTTTATTTCATAGATTGTTCAAATATGTTTAGCATACAATTAAACAGATAAAAATCATCATCACCTTCATCTTTGATATAGTTGTTGTGTATGATAGCTAAATGATAAGATACATGTTGTTTCTCAATTTTTTTAAAATAATCTTCGTCAGTATGAATTGATATTATATTAAAGAAAGAAAAATAGAATGCATCTGTTTTATTAAACACCAACAGAACTGTAAAGCAGTCGATTCATTCAAATGATTGATATCAATCTTTCTTTTTTTAGTATTCTTGCTTCTTAAGCAAGATCATCAATGATCAAATTGATAAAAAAAAATAAGATCGAAGTATAGATTTCATTTCTATATGTAGTAACATTGTTAGTTATAGACGATTTTCATTACTTTTTCCAACTATTATCATGAGATATATGATAAAAATGATTGTCAATTTTTAATATTAATATTATATGCACGGACATCTGTTTGAAGAGATGTTTTCATCTTAGTTTTGCATAATACTTTCAAAATGATTCAGCAAGTAATCATTGAACAAAAACAAAATGATTCATCTATGATATTCTATAATAGTAAAAAAGCCAGTATTTAAAAGATTGAGTTTTATTTTAATATTCTTACTTTCCTCCCAATGATAAATAATTCTCGACAGGCCTCTGTATGAGCCATATAGATCGTCACTTACTCTGATCATGTTGATTGCAGGTATAATGTTCGTTTCATTTTAAAATATATTCTATATTCAAAATATCAAGACATCACTATCTGTTCTGTCAAAGTCTATGCATCATAATTAAAACGATAAGATAATAAACGCTACCAAAACGTTTTATGAAAATTTACTAAATCTTTCAAGGACTTACATATTTTTATTTTTTCGCGATATAACTGAACAGCAGTAAGAGTTTTGAAATGTTATTTGAGTAAAAATCAGATAAATTTCAAGTGGAACAACATCAAAACCTCCGCCGTTAAAAATAGAAATCAGAGTTGTTGGAGGTACATATTTGACACGAGTTATTGCTAATATTTGTTTTTCTTGAAAATTTTCATCATTGAAATTTAATTCTTCAGATGTCCATTTAAAACAATCAGTACATTGAGTTGACCTCCATTGAATTCGAACAGTATCGTTTCCATAAATTCGATGTGGAAGAGTAGAAAGCCAAATTTGAATTTTTACTGTTTGATTTAAAATTATTTTTGTTGATTGAGGATAACAGAATAGCCCAAGCATAACATATCGACAAGTAAATGACTAATTTTTTGGAATCGAATCAAAATATTCATCATCTGGTTTCATTTGCATACTGATAATCTTCATCTTGAGAAGACTTTGTTGAATATATCACATCATATTTAAATTTAATATAGTTATTAATTCTAAATGAAGTTCCATTGAGTCAATATGATGCTAATAAATTGAATGTATTTCGTCCATATTTTCAATATGTTCCATACATACAACCGGAATGTAAAGAATCAACTAATAATAGAAGATAATATTTTCGATTGAGGTGAATCAGATATTGCATATGGAATATGTTGCAAAGAATATGAAGTTTCTTGTTCTGTAGAGCTATAACTGATTGTCTGATAGGCTCGTTGATTTATTTCATCAATTGCAATTATTGTTTGACTATTATTACGAGAAAATGTGACTTGAGGAGGAAAATTTGGTTGATCACATTTTACCAAATAATAACATAATATAAAGACTATCAACGAAGCTTTATGAGAATATATAACTTTGATTCGTTCATATGCTTTTATTCTGACACAAAAAAGAAATTAAATTGCCGTGAAATGATGAATTGACAGAAAAAAAGTACAGCATCACATTGATATATATTTTTCATTGATAACATTACTCGATAAACTTTTTTCACACATATTATCATAGCACCTGTGTCAGCCTTATATCTCCAATAATATTGCCATTGTGTTTTTTTCTCTTGTGAACTAGAATATTCAAAAAAAAATTTATACGCGAAAAATGCCCTTTTCAAGATCGATTAAGCAGAGAGATTAGCAAATGCACGAGATCTAATTTTAGTCAATACTTTTACCAAATGATAAAACTTGAAAATTAATCGTATTCTATGTTTTAAGATTTGATTGATTAGTTGTCTTGACTAAAATTATGCGGGCAATGGCTTAGGCCTACTTAGGATTCAAGTTTAACAGTTTAGATGTGAATTTCGATCGTATAAGGTTCTGAGACGAATTCACATCTTACTATCGACACTTATGTGATCAATCACAATAAATTTTTAATGGTTCTGAAAGCTAAAACAATCGCACTTCCATGATAAGTACCATTTCATTATTTAGATAGATTCAATACAAAGAATTATAAGTCAATAGATGATTCTGTAAAAGTTTTCGATGTTATGATGACGAGTTTTCTTTGATAGATTAATTAACTATTCCAAATATTCAAACATATTGCTTTGGTTTTGAAAACACAAAAGATAGTTATTTAAATGATTATTAAATATATCTGGCATGAATTATTATTAGTTTCAATTTCTAGTGTTTTTTTTTAATTTTGTTCAATACGATATCTTCTGAAGAATATTAAGACGAATTTCTCATATCTCATCAGCAATCATTTTTTTTCAATTTAATTAATTTTGCTCGATATTTATGTTAAAGATTTCGTCTATAAACCAATTGGCTTTTGAAACCATGGCAAAATAAATAAATAATTTAATAATGAAACACAAATGAGTAATGAGAAAACTTCCATATAAAATTTCAGTCTATATGCAATGGGTTCAAGATATTAATAAAAATATTTCTGGTTTCCAAAAAACTTCTTTGCAATTAATCATATGTTAACAGCATTATATGAAGATTATTCAGTCAATAAAGCACTTGCAATAGTCTTATGTGTGATGCAAAAATAAAAATATAGTCATTGATTTCATAATTTTCTACAAGAGAAATAACCATATTTTTAAACATGTGAAACGAAACTTACCTTAACTATCGTTAAAAACCTAACATAGTCCGAATGACTGGCAATAATCAAAATTCAATGTAACACATGAAATATGATAGGAAAATTTTTAAAGGTCATTAATTTAACAAAGCCCAGAAAAAAAAGCATACCGTAGTAGAGAAGAATTCCTGAAAACGTGTTGGATTCCTTTATTTGCAATTTCTCTTTCATTGTGTTCAAGTTCTTTCAGAAAACACTGAAACAGCTACTCTAAGCAGAAAAGGTACTTGAAGACACTTTGAAAGGAACTTTCGTATCTAGTAAACATTTAAAAACTTTTTTCCTGTCATCTTAGGTTATCTTTTGAAGATAAATATAAATGAAGTTTTTTATGCGTACTGTATGTCAAAAACTAAAAGTAAGTGGTTTTGATTTTTTCTGAACAGACGTGAAAACTCCTCAACAGCAACTACGATAAAGACTTTTGATAGGCGTTTCCAGAAATACTTGTTTGCTTGGGTAACTTCATCACTATCATTATATTGAAAGAATATTTTGTTGCGCTTTTCTCTTGTTGATTAAAAACTAATTTAAATAAAAATTTTACGTTGTAAAAGGAAAGAAAAACATCGATGAAAGATGAAAATAGAAATCATTAACGAAACAAAAAAGTAATAAATGTTATAGGAACATTGATGTTGATTGCTAATTTGTTTATGTTGTGATGAAACATTTTCTGTATACATGCTTTTTTTTAATCGAATGTAAAAATTTGAATAAGTATATACAAGGGTACGCTTTTCTCGAATATTAAGCAATGGAACAAAAATTTCCATGTTATTAAAAACTAATTCAAATACAATGAAATAAAGAAATCGTCGATGCAATTCACATATACTTTGATAATATAGAGGATTCGATTTTGTTTTCCGATCAATATATAAACAAAAACCAATCATAAACATGTTCCAAGCGGAATAAATGAAATACATTTTGCGATTGTATCAATGAAGTGCTTCTTATGATGGGTGTTGTTGGTGTGCGTCTGAATAAACAGAAGTGTTACACCCACACCCTTCCAATGATTTTTCATTCCTCACACATTCAACTTTTGTTTTTTGTTCTCATTTATTTAATATTTATTTATTTTGTCTTGTATCTGGTTTCTTTTTTCTCAAACATATTTTAGATATGCTATAAACATATTTCTTTGACAGTTTCTCTTTTTAATATAGAAGCTGTATATTGAAGAATATGAGAATCGTTGTTTTCATTGGTAACAAACAAAAAAAAATTATTTGACGTTTTTATTCTTATCCAACGGAAATCTTTATTCTGCTAATTAGTTTTTTTAAAACATTTATTATTTTGATAGTCTAATTTATATGAGTTGTGATTTATTTAAAATTTCACGAAACGAAATTCTATCACATAATGAATTCTTTAAATTAGAAAAGCTAACAAATAAAACAACGAATTCCACTATAAAAAATAATTTATGTTACTTTAACATATTAATTGATTATGATCAAATACATGGTTATGTTACAATTCAATTTGAGCAAAATAGAAATTACACTGTTAATAAATTTATTTTTGAGACATCGTTTTTATTGTCTGAATATAATGATTCTATTATTAGTTCAATTGAATATTCATGTTCATCGGATGATCTATGTGATAAAACATTTATCAATAGATGAACTCATTGGATAGCTAATATTAATTATGAACAATTGAAAAATAAATTTATGTATATAACAACATTAAATGTTCAATCAAATCGATGTTATATTGTTTCTAGAAAAACTATAGAATGTTCAAATTTTATGTGCTTTAATCATTATAAAACAATTTTAAATTATAGCAATTGTTTAACTAATCAAACAATAATAACAAAATCATTTTATATTAAAATGGAAAATATGAAAAACTGACATATAGTTGTATGTCTGAAAATGTTTTAATGAAATAACATTTAATTATATTTGAAAAGAAACTTCTCTTCTATTGGATTGTATCGCTTATGTTGTTGAATCGATCCGTTTTACAAATCAAATGAATAGAGTACTTGATCCTTCGTCAAAAAGAATTCAGATTTCAATAAAAGATCAATCAAATAATTATATAATAACACTTATTCAAAATGTCTACCCAGACACAAATAAGCTTAGCTAAACATTTTCAATCATTATTTTTTCTTGATATGTTTTGAAGCAATTTCTTCTAAAAAAAAACTAATGAAAAAGGCTTATTAGCGCAACCCCATTGGTGCTGAAATCAGATTTTTTTTTATTAAAAATTTAAAAAAATTAGCTGTTTTCTCCTTGGTATACAATGAAATAAGAGTCTTCTTCGTTTAATTTTTCTAGCTTTATTTTTTAAATAGATATTTGCGATTCAATTGGTGATGAGCTACCAAGTGATACTTGATGACTATTGATTGGTATTGCTTATATCAATATATGAATAAATACATAGAAAATTTATTATGCAGATGTTAAATGAAAGTTAAGCAGCTAATTAAGACTATATTATAAAGATGACTATTTAGATTAATGTTAAATATGTTTATTGAAAAGAAAGTCAATGCATGTGCCTTATTGGCATAGTATATTGATAAATACTTTCCATCAATGTTTTTAATTTTACCATGAACGAATGATTTTTCTTTATCATGTTAATTATTGCACAGTGTTGATGAAATGAACAAAAATCATTCATTGCAATGTTGTACACTTGTATAAAAAATTATTTGAACCTGTTTTTTGCGTTGATATTCCTAGTTTATCTTTTTATTTCAGAAAACTACTCTATATATTCATTTATTTCTGCAACTGACTACAACAAACCAATTGATGTTAGTCGTTACAAAAAATAAACCTACTGCATTATTTTATCAATCTGAATCAATGACTCAGTAGTTCTAATTCTCATTACAAGCAATTTCAGACGTTTTAACTAATGGAATCGTAGATTCAATTTAATAAAATTGAGAAAATAAATTGAATCGTTCTCTTTTGAGCCCATATTTCTTGCCTTGAACAATCAACGTATGACTCAGACGGCTTCTTCACGTTGAAAATAAAACCATGTTATTTTCTTTTGATACATGGACAGACTGAATGAATATTTTTACCTGTGCATTAACTCTTTCTCTATATTCGATGAGTCAACATGTGACTTGAATTAATTATATTTGATGCAATATTTTCGATGTTTTTTTTCTCTAAAATACATAAAAGTTGTCGCTACGCAATATCATATATAAAACATTCATTTAATTTCTTCACACTTGCTGTTAACGACTTCGCTTTGTCGACCGAATCATCATGCAAAACTTTGAGATGAATATTTCAAACGATTCTTAAGTCATATTTTTTATCAAAAGTTTTAAACATGATAAATCCCATTTTTATCCCATAAATAAGTAAATGGTAATAAAATAATCAATACAGAACTTTTGTCTCGTTCGTCATTCGTTGTAGTCACGGGATGACGGTTTTTAATTACTTTGTAATTGAAGAGAAACGAAATACAAAATAATTCATTTCCTATTTAATTTTATCAATGGTTTCAAATGAGTCTATCAGAGTAAAGACACACGCACACAGAGTGTATAACTCAAATGTGACTGAGGGCAGAAACACGCACGATTACGAGAGAAATTTGCTAGACTTTTATAGATGCTTCATAGAGCTTGCGTAGATCCTATGTGAATCCTTTCTAAACCTTTCATCAATTATTTGTAAATTGTTCTATAACATATAAAAAAAATTTGATTTGTTTCCTAATTCGTTTTGATCATGAACTCGTTGTTTCTAAGATTAATGATCGAAGAAAAAACTTCTCAAGAATTCTTATATTCTGAGAATATACTCTATTGCCATTGTCGGAAATCAAAAGTACCTCCTAACAAAGGATGTAATACATAAAGCGAAAAAAGAGATTATTTCATTTTTTTCTTTTGAATGGCAAAAATATCAACATTCTTTTCAAAATCACCATGAGAAACTTCCCGGGCGGACTAATTTTCTGATGGCTCTGTCTTCATGTGGAAGTTTAGCATGCCAACAGGCTCACATTGTGTAGATCATCTGTTGTTCTAGAGTCTGTGGCCATGATTCTTAGTCGCTTGAGAATGTAATGGGTTAGTATGATAATCATTAGTCTGTCAAGATATGTTTCGATAATATACCAAACTTTATTTTTCTTTTCATAGCAATCGGTTTTCATAAGTCTAATGCCTTCTACAATATTCGAAGCGATTAGTGTAATCAATCATAAGTTTATTAAATGATTTTATATGACCCAAACTGAGTCATATGATCTTTCCTCACTCTCTAGAATACATCATAATGTTTATTGACTCAGCATCGAAAGTAGACATCTTCAAATTTTATGCCGAACTGAATCCTACCGTCAACATTTTATTTAACTACGACTATTTGAAACATTTTTGCGGCTGAATTCCATATAATCCATTGTTCTATGATTGCAGGGCATCCCATTGTAAAGGTAATTGGTGAGCACTGATGGAAGATAATCTTTTCTCGTTATTCAAAGTTGAAGTTGATTTTTAGATTCTAGTTTTATATATTTGTACTAACTAACAAGTAGAAGAATCACAATAAGAAAAACTTATCAGTACAGCTCCTTACGCTGCCAAACTGTGGAACTCACATACACTGGCATTCGTAAGTTTGTGACATATCGCCAGAATTTTTAAAATGAATTTAAAAAAATAGCATTAATTAAATGAGTAAAACAAAATTCTAAGAATTTCAATATTTGATAGGCGTGCTCCGAAATATTATTGTATTGTAAAAAGCTCATTTTCATTGTGAGGGTATGGATGCAGGTGTGGGCGTAGATATGGATGGGTGTGGTTGAAGAGACAGGTACCACACCCCTTCTTGAACCCAATCACAATCACACTCACTCTCGCACTGACACCAACACCGACAATCATAGCACACTGTCGAAATGCTTTGTTCTTAGTTCCATATTTCCATCAGAATTAATTTTGATATAACGTCATGAAAATTCATGAATCTAACAATTTTAGTTCTGAAAAGAAATTTTAGCTCATAGGCTGCATGTATGAGAAAAACATAGGGATTTGCAGTTTAGTAATGGCATCTTCTGTCTTCTTTGTTTAATTTTTTGGTTTATTCGTCTCATTCAAAACTAGTATTTTTTTCATTATGAATTGCTCGAATATTTTTCGTTGAACCAATTTTCGCTTTCCCGTTCTCGTCATTGTAAAAGAAGAAAGATAGCGGCCTGCTTCCAATACGAATTAATATGATCCCGAATGCATGGCACAATATTCTCTGTTTTATCAAATATACGATGACTGCTTGACCTCATACTAGGTGTTCTCTTTTCTATATATACGACGTGAACAATATTTTCTGCTTTTCCAGACTGACAACTATTCAAAATGGAGGTCAACGATAAGAACACGTAAGTTGAATTCGAAAATTGGAACAGCATAGGAAGAGCTCAATCTGAAAATATCGATTAAAATAAACTTATTGTTGTATCCGAAAGGAAACTTCTAACGGACATGTTATGGTAGAGTCTTTCAGAAGTTTGCAAGATAGTTTACTTAAAATAGGGACATTCTGTGCAATCAATCCAGAGAAATAATAGAGTGGACGCAACTATACGCAGCAATTTCACGAACAAAATCGGAGTATTCTTAAATTAGTTGCTAAACAGAAGCCCACGTTTTTCTGATAATATCGGTTTGCTATATTTATGATGGATCATTTTTTTCTACCTCCTTTTGCAGATCTATTACAACATTCGAGATGATGGCAAACGAAGTTTTAATGGAACTTTTTGAATATTATGATTTTTATTCACTTTTCTTTTCGTTCTCGTCACTCAATGTTCGCTTCGACGCTCTTCTTGCTCGTTGTCGTGCCAGTATTGATCATGATCGCCTAGCACCTAATGCTTTTATTCATTTTCTGGCTCGGATTTTAGAACAAATCAATAATGATCATATTCAATCATTTCATGCTTCAAATATTCATCAAATGTTTATTTTGGCTCATGATGATTCTCTATTTCATTTTGCTCATATTCGGTCACTTCGATTGTGCAATATTCCATCGAATATCATTCATATTATCGTCGAACGTGTTTATTTCTATCAACTCGAGCATGTTTCACTCGATCAAAAACCACTCCAGCTTTTTCCTTATAACTGGTACCCTTCAAAACATTTTTTGGACTCAAACCGATATCCTTGGCTTCGATCGTACAGCGACTCCCTGATCTGGCTTATGGAGGGTACAACTGTGCTATCATCACTTGAATATATTCGAATGGATGGATCCAGCAGTTCGGACAGCTATCTTAGCCTTCTTCGCCGATCACCACGTTTGAAATCTTTTCAAGCGAAATTTTGGCTCGAATCTTACAAAGATTCATCATCACCGATCTATACACACGATGTCCTTACCAATTTACATTTAATATTAGGTTGGAAATTTCATATGTCAACAATCATATATTTGTTTCAGTCAACAACTCGAGTACGTAAACTTACTTTCACGGCATCCAAAAATCGTCATTATACAGTTGTCGATCCACATTGGTGGGAGAGTGTTTTGAGCAA